GCCCCTGCCAGGGCCTCCTCTCTCCTCACCCTGCATGTTATTGTCGGCTTTGCCGCAGGTCACCCACTTGCCCCCCTGGAAGCGCCAGTGGTTGGGGTCTGCCAGCACCACCTCCACGAACACGTTGTAGTGAGCGGCAGGATTGAGTCCGTTTATGTTGAAGCTCAAGAAAGGAAACATACGCCTGTGCGAGGGAACAGAGCCAGAAGAAGCGGTTTAATCACCCGAGGGCAGGCCCGTGCCCGGCCAGGTTCGCGGGCACCTGGGGGAGGGTCGGAGCACGGCGTCTGGAAATCTACAGAATGAACAGAACGCCGGGAAAGTGGATCTTACTATGCAAAACAGTTTTGAGTTGGCCACTCTTTGAACACCCCTTGTCCAAAATAATTTGCCCCCAAGTCACGCGCTTCTGTGTCCTCTCCCCACTCAAGTTCTCGACTTTTTAAGGTGCTCGTTCGTTTTTCTTCCATGATGTGAAAAATGTCTTTTTCCAATTCCACTGGTAAGGCTGAAAGTCCCCTTTGAGAGTCCCTCTCCCTCTGCCCCTTACTTTCCGCAGAAGTCATCACTGTTAGCAATTGGATGTGCATCAGAACTTTCTCACCCCCGAACCCCAGCCAGGTCTGGCTCCCAGACCTGCCTAACCAACCACCCGGGCCAAGCCTCCGATGCCAGAGCCCCAGCCCTCACGTCCATCCTCCGGAGGCGCCCCATGGAGACCCTGGCGCCTAAAACTGCAGGAGCCCATCTACTGCGCTCAGGGGGGCAACCCAAGCGCCTCCCCCACCCCCCAACCCCCATCCTGTTCCTCTCGGTCTAGCAGGGAACAGCGTACCACCGAGCTGAGCGGGCACATCTAGTAAATCCAGCTTTGTGGACAAGCTTCAATTTCCACTTCCGCCTCCTCCTCCTCCTCCATCCAGGTAAGGGTAACGGGAGGGAGGAGAGGAGGCAGCCGAAACAGTACACCCGGCACGGACCGCTCGTGAGTATAGGGGAGGGACGAGGAATTGGAGACGCAGCGTCTCCACTTACTGCGCACGGAAAAACACTTTCCAAGCAAAGTGCATCCCCGGCCTTCCTCCGGCCACACGGTCACTGCCCACCCGGCGCCCCGTGCCCCCTCCGCGCCGTGCTCACCTGCCCTGTTTCGTAATGATCATCTCGGTTTGGTGGCGGTGGAACTTGAGCCACAGAGGCCGGTTGCATAGGTAGACGTGAGCACGTAAACTGGAACCAGAAACCTCCAAGCTCCCCCATCCTCCGCACGAACCCGCGGCTGCTGCCTTGGGGTACGGCCCGTAGAGGGGAGCCTGACTGTACT